CAATGAAGGCAGGAGGGGGAGGGAGCACTACAACTGAATGTGATTAGGCAGCTCATTTTAAAGGTGATTTAATCATGCGGGGATAAAAAAGAAAGAAAATGTTCTAAAATTGATTGTGGTAATGATTGTACAATTCTTTTTGATATGATTGAATTGTATGATATGTGGATTACATGACAATAAAACTGTAAAAAAACCCAACCACATTGTTCCCTTGGGGCTTGGGACCAAAAAATATGCTGTGGATATTTTAAGAAAGACGTTCACACATAAAGAGCAACAGGCCAGGGTAGTATACTGCTTGATGCTATAAAGTAACCTGTTATAGTATCATATCAAAATAATGAGAGAGAAATGTGCTTTTTAAAATAAATATGTATGCTGTATGTAACATAAAAAATATACTTCATTTAAAAAGGAACAAAATTATTTTAAGAAAATTAAACATATGGAGGCTGAAATTGTTTTTTAAAACCACTTAGACTTCATTAAGGTAAGAGTTCAATTTTTGTATATGTCCATATAATGGAATGAGATGCAGTCTTAGGGAGAGGTTTTAATAGGACAAAATTCCTGCAATATGCAGGTGACACAATCTTGCTTGCTGAAAGTGAAGAGGACTTGAAGCATTTACTGGGGAAAATCAAAAGGCTACAGTCTTGAATATGGATTATACCTCAGGATAAGGAAAACAAAAATCCTCACAATCGAACAATAAGCAGCAACATAGTAAATGGAGAAAAGACTGAAGTATTCAAATATTTCATTTTTGTTGGCTCCACAATCAACATCCATGGAATCAGTAGTCAAAAAATCAAACGATGGGTTGCATAGGGCAAATCTGCTGCAAAGGCTTCTTTAATGTGTTAAAGACTACAGTTTCTCTTTGAGGACTAAGGTGCACCTGAGCCGGCATTTTCAATCACCTCATATGCAAGTGATCCGGTTAATGAATAAGGAACTTGCAGAACAATCGATACATTTGAATTGTGCTGTAGGCAAAGATATTGACTATCTCACGGACTGCAAAGGTCTTAGAGGAAATATAGCCAGAACACACAGTCCTAAGAAGCGATGATTGTTGAGATCTCATTTCACATTCTTGGGGCATGTTATCAGGAGGGACTAGTCCCAGGGAAAGGATAACATAGTTGGTGAAGTGAGGGTCAGTGAAAAAGGAAAACCCTCAACAAGCTGGACTGACCCCCTGGCTGCAACAAGGGGCTCAAACTTAACAGTGCCTGTGAGAAGGGTGCAAGACTGGACAGTGTTTGTTCTGTTTCTACATAGTGTTGTTGTGAGTCAGAACTGACTTGTGGCACCTAGCAACAACAGTGTAAGAGAGAAACAGAACGATCAAGTTTTATTTACTCTGAGTTGCAAGTATAGTTAGGTATCCGTGTTTATGCTACTTGGTTGTTGTTAGGTGTCATGGAGTCCATTCCAGCTCACAGAGACCCTACGCACTACAGAACGAAACAGTGCCTGTTCCTGGGCCATCCTCCTCATTGTTCATGCGTTTGACCCCACTGCACAACCATGGTGTCAACTGCCAATCCATCTCAGTGATGGTCTTCCTCCCTTTCACCCGCTCTCCTTTCCTGAGCATGACGTCCTTTTCCAGGGACTGGTTTCCCTGATAACATGTCCAAAGTAAGTGAGATGAAGTCTCGCCATCCTCATTTCTAAGGAGAATACTGGTTATATTTCCCAAGACAAATTTGCAGTCTCTAATATATACAATATTATTTGCCAACAACATAATTCAAATGTATCGATTTGGCTGCAGTCTTCCTTATTTTATTTATTATCCAGCTCACTTGCATATGAAGGGACTGAAAATACCACAGCTTGGATCAAGCATTACTTTAGACAATATTAAATCATATTCTTTTATATTACCACATTATCTAATAACCAATCAAAATGTTTTAATAATAATAAGATTATCATGGATAACTGCCTATATTTCATACAACAGTAAGTTTGATTGCAATAAAAATGGCATAACAATAGGTAAATATTAAGAAAAAGGCAGAGCAAACACAAAACCTTGTCAAGCAACACTTTTCTGCTAAATGGAAATTGAATGAATGTTTTCAAGGCTTTGAAGTAATAACATGCCTATTATGCAAGCTATATCAAATTGCATGATGAAGAAATCAGCAGCTACCATTATTTATTTATTATTTAATGCAAGGAAGCATACTATTGCTTACCACACATTCTTTCATTCTCTCCTTGCAGCAAGACTATGGAGAAAGTACTATTCTTATCTCCGGTTTAAAGATAGACTGAGCGACTGAAGCACCACAGTCATATGACTAGTAGATGGCAAAGCTCTGATTTAAATCTAGGTAATCCGACTCCACAGCTTGCATTCTTACTACTTCTCCATCTCATTTTATAAAGTAACTAGTTTATATTCTAAAACTTTACACACACACACACACACACACACACAGATTGGCTACTTTTACTTCATGTCTAGGTCTAATAAAAATTTAAGTAATACAGTAATAATCAAAATTTTAAAAAGTTAAAGGAAATGACATAATAGGGGTTATCTCAAGCACCCAAAGAACACAAGGAAATCAAGTCAGATAATTTACTCTAGTTGTAGAGTAAATCTAACCCCCCCAAATTTTAGCAGGATCAAAGTTGCTAAGAAACTTCTATAATCTTTAATAAGATTATAAAACTTAACTACAACTAAGCACACCCACGAATGTTAGCTTTTTCAACAAAGGCGATATATTTCAATCCAAACAAAAAAATCTATGCCAAATACCTAAAGAATAAATATCCACATTGTGTTCAATAAATCATTCAGAAATAGCTTATCCATAAAGATGTGGATAGTAAATATCTATCCATATCTACCTACGTGGAAATATATATTCAAAGTAGTTAAACAATTCAAGTTAAAAAATTTTAAGATACATCAATTAAAAAAACCAATATAAACAAAATTTGAACCCAAATACTAGTGAAGCCCAGGAGACATATACATATGATCATAGCATTATGAAGTGGTTTATTCCTTTGGGGAATAGTACGGAAAGCTAGTGAGAATGTATTTGAAATAATGTCATGAAGAAGCATAGAGATATATTCACTCATACCAAAACTATTTCAAGATTATATCCCAAATAACTAAATATAGGGTCATGTAAATGAAGTCAGTGCATGGTTATAAAGCAAATACCAACAGAGAACTGTAGTCAGACTTGAGTTTGAGGTCTGGTTTAACTGTGAACTTGGGCATATTTATTGATTCAATTTTTCTCTTGACACAACTCAGTTGTAAAAACTCATTTGATTACTAAGCTAAAGAACCTCTGGTAAACACTGTATGGAAGCATGGAATATATTTATTCAATAAAATACTTACATAACACCTACTAATACCAAACACCTACTAATAACAGGTACTAAGGAGCCCAGGTGGTGATACTAAACACAAGATCAGTGGCTCCAACCAACCAACTGCTGTGGAGGAGAGAGGTGCAACTGCTTCCCTTAAAGGTTTACAGCTTTGGAAATCCTATCCAGTGCTACTATGAGTTGAAATTGACCTGGGGCAGTGGTTTTTATGTGTCAGGTATTATTTAGACAAAAGGAGTTAAGAATGAATAAGATAAACAAGGGAACTACTTCAGGAAAGGGAAGCAGAAAATAAATTTGCAAACAAATAAGTAACTATGGCTATTGAGATATGCTATGAATTTAACAAAAATGAGTTAAGAGTAATTGGAATGGGTGGATAGCGTCAGTTGGGTGGTTACGGAAAGCAACTGTGAAAAAGTACTTATAGAAGTCCCTTGTATGCCTTCCAGGTGGCTTTGCCTGTTGAAATTCCAGAAAGAAAAACAAAACAAAACAAAACAAAAGAGAGATAGTCCAGGGATAGTGAATTATTTAATATGGCTCTTCTAGCCAAAGTCTCTAACTCCCGCCAAATGACCATTCCCTGCAGGGGTTTGGTAAGACCGTGGGTGAAGATACTGATAAGATTCACCCGTGAGTAAATGTGAACAGGGTTCCCTGGAGGGCCACCCTGCTGGGCATAAAATCAGCCCTCTGAGAAAGGGGAGGAGGGATCACATTGCCAGCAAAAGCCTCTGGCTCCAGCATCTGGCTTACCTCTGTCTGACCTTTGGATTTTGGACTGAACAATACCTATCACCACATGAGACATTTCCTCAATCTTTTCTGATTCTCAGAACCAGAAATGTGAAGGATCGACTCAAGGGAGGAGAGTGGGGAAACAGAGCAGCCTAGCATATTGTAAGAGTTGGACTTTGGGGACTTTTTCAATCTCCAACTCCTTGGAAGGCCTTATACAAAAGATTTCAAAAGACCATCAAAATACAATTAAAAGGTTAGAAAAATAATTAAAAGGTTATAAAAATGTCCACAAACTCTTTGAAGTCCCCTTGTATAACCTGATCCCTGGCTATTCTTCTGACCTCATCTACTTCTCTCCTCTTTTCTGTTTCAGCCATATGAGCTTTATTTTTCCAGATCTTCATCACACAACCCACACCAAGTTCACGCCAACCATATAGCCTTTGTATATGTTGTTCCCCATGACCAAGTTGCAGTTCCTACAGACAGGCATGTAACACCTTCTTTGTATTCAGTTCTTGGCTCAGATGTCACTTTTTCAAAGTTGTTTTTCATAAGCACTCAACAAAGGCTATTCCACCATTCCAATTAGTTATCAATATTTTTTGTTAAGTTCATAGAATATCTTAATAGCCATGATTATTTATTTGTCAATTTATTTTCTGCTTTCTTCTCTGTCAAGAATATATGAATCAAGATAAATTTTAAACAAGAAAGTTTACAGAAGTTGGTGTCTGGAAAGACGGAATGAAGAAAATCAAGGTAACAAGTCTGCATCCAATGGGAGAAGGATGACAATAACAAAGAAGTCAATGTAGAGAGGTTAGGGTTATTGGTGGTAAAAGTTCAAATTTAAGAAAAATACATACCTTTGATTCGAGGTAGACATTAGCTGATGACATTTTTGTAACTTTGCATATGTAACTAACTAAAGAGATGGCACAAAGAATAAACAGGCTATCATTAATTAGTGCGCGAACAAATACAGTCCATTTCAATTGATTTTCTGGGACATCTCCATGGAGTAGCATTGCACAAGTCAAGTTCACCACTAAAAAGAGAAGGCTTGCCAACAGAAAGCCCAAATGCAGAAGAATTCTGAAAGGAAAAATACAAATCTGTTAGATGTTCATAAAACTAACAAGACATTAAATTTATCTGAATTAGCTTGTTATTTTAGATATGATAATTCCTTTGGTCTAAAATGTTTAGGATATTATTAAATACAAACTCAATAATGACCCAAAGTTATTTGGGCTATCTTTACCGTATTGACTTTAGTCTTTAAACTATTTAAAAATGGCATTAATTCAGAAATAATCTCATATGACCTTCAATTCAGTTGTTTCTACTAGGAAGACTAATATAAGACTATCTAAACATCAGTTTCAAGTAATCCTGAACTGTTCATTTTTGTAACTATTAGGTATATTTTGAAATAAAATTTGCTATTGAGGATACACACAGCAAACATCCACCAATGCAGCAGTTTCCCCATGCAAAACTCAGCAACTTCTATTACATGCTTCAAGTTGCACGGCCTATTCTCTTCCTCCTCTTCTGAAATGGTTCTCCCTCATTAAGATACTCACTTGCCCCTAAGGTTCCTATCTAATCTTTTGACTTGCTGTTATCAATTTTATCCCTTAAAAGAGATTTTAAAAATGCATAATACTCAAGGCAGATATCTTTTAGAAATTAAGCTAAGCTATGGTTTGGTTTTTAAAACACTTTAGGAGATATTTTAGGTTTTTAAAAAAATCATTTTATTGGGGGCTTACAGATCTTATCACAATCCATAGATACATCCATTGTTTCTAGCACATTTGTATATATGTTGCCATCATCATTTTCAAAACATTTTCTTTCTACTTGAGCTCTAGGTATCAGCTCATTTCCCCCTTCTCCCACCTTCCCTCCCTTATGAACCCTTGATAATTTATAAATTATTATTTTTTATGTCTTACACCAACTGCTGTCTCCCTTCATCCACTTTTCTGTTCTTCGTCTCCCCTGGGAGGGGGTTATATATAGATCATTGTGATCAGTTTCCCCTTTCTTCGCTCACCTTACGCTTACCCTCCTGGTATTGCGACTCTCATTATTGGTCCTGAGGGGTTTATCTGTCCTCCATTCCGTGTGGTGAGCTCTTATCTGTACCAGTGTACATCCTCTGGTCTAGCCGGATTTATAAGGTAGAATTGAAGTCATGGAGCGGGGAGGTGGGAGTATTAAAGAACTAAAGAATTAGAGGCAAGTTGTATGTTTCGTCGGTGCTTTAGGTTTGTTTAAAGATAATCTTAGGGCAATAGTTTCAAGGGTTCATCCAGCCTCCATGGCTCCAGAAAGTTTAGAGACTATGAGAATTTGAAAGTCTGTTCTGTGTTTTCCTCTTTTGATCAAGATTCTTTTGTAGAATTTTTAGCAAAATGATCACTAATGATAGTCAGACACCATTCCTACTCCTGACTCTTCTTTCTCTGCTGCTATAGGTGAAGAGAGACTAATGGTTGTGACTTGGATATTAAGCGTGTTTTCATTTATCTTTCTGTCTTAAGAATTACTAGATTTTTATAATTTTCCTGGAAAGTAAATTCACTGTACCTAAATTTAAATTAATGTTCTAATAATAAAACAAAATGTGGTTTAAACAATGTTAAGTCTTAATAATTTCTGATTATCTATAGTAAACATTGCCTTAAAACTTGACTAAAAATATAGGGACAATATATGTAGGGCTTCAAGCTCCTCCTTTTATGAAGTTGTATATTTACTATGCATACGGAATAACCGAGTCACTTATGACTCAGGCAACCCCATGTGTGCAGAGCAGAGCATGGTGTTTTCAAGGTTGTGACCTTTCGGAATTAGATCTCCAGGCATATGTTCTTAGGCGTCTATGAATAGGTTTGGATTGCTAACCTTCTGACTAGTAATTAAGTGCTGAACCATTTGCACTGGCCAACGACCAAAGGCAAATTAGACCATTCATAAAAATATCTAGCTAAGGTGTGGTCTTTTTATCAAGTGGTGGTAATAGTTACCTATGTGAAAGTAATCACAATTAAAATATTTTCATAACCAAATTAAATACCTACAATCCAGAAATTTAGTTGACATTGTAGTATCTTCTACTTGGTAACACTTTCAACAGTGTGAATCATAAGGGTTTGTCTGTCTTTGGAAATAGTTTATACATGGTAAATTGAACGCAATAACGCTTAATCTGTATCAAATCTGTAACAAACAACCTTATTAAGTGTACATGGAAAGTCCATTTTAGTTTGAAAGGTTTAGATCTTAGTATTCTCTCATGTTTAATAATGACACAATTATAAATTGAGATCCAAAAGGACCTTGAAATTATCTAAAAATTTCACTAACTAAAGTAGGCTAGGAAATCAAACCTTAGAAATGGTAAATGAGTTGGAAAGTCAGCAAGTTCGTAAATAAGGAGAGCAGAGTCTGAAAACAAAATCTCCTGATTCCCCAGCTCACATAACCATTTTGAGATTAATCAGTACTAAAGAAGTATTTATTTCCTGGTGCTATAACATACATTTTAACCCTAAATAGTGTAATGCAATGCAGTATCTATGGACTCTATAAGCGCTTTCTGAAGCAGAGCAGAAAAACCACAGTAAGCAGTATTAGGCAGTGATTGAGGATCTAAGATATTAGAGGGGAGATCTGCACTATGGGTTACTCAGCTCACTTCCTTTGAACCAATATACATGATTTTTGATAAAATTGCTGAGGAATTCTCACCTATCACTCCCTTCTATTTCTAGATGGCTACTGTGAAAAAACTTTACATCTTGATGTGAAACTTACTTGTGTTTGTCAAGTTCAGTGGCACATCTGACTTTACATATAACCTATAATAAAGAGAGTATAAAACAAAGTGTTGAAAACGTGAATTATTATTAACTGATCTTGACTTTGTTTCAAAATAGGCATTATGAAATTACAAATACTAATACCAAATAAAGTTCCAATGTTAGCAGTTGAACTACATAAAGAAAGGAAAAAACGAAAATAAAAAACAGGTTTCCAAAGGCTAAAAAAATATTTTAAATAAATCTAAAAAATAGATTTATGAATTTCTTTGTTATAATCTTAAATTTCTACCATTAATATTTTAAATAGTATTAATTCTACTCAGATATTTATTTCAGCTTTACCAGACAATGTGTTGGGCAGCTTGATTTTAAACTGCATTATATTACTCATTCTTTATCCTAAATGGAACTATTTATTTAAATGTGAATAAATGTTCCCCCAAAGTAGTTTTCCTTTATGATGAAAATTAAATAGTAAAGAGAAGTAAGAGATCAAAAGGTGAGTATATAAATAATGGGTATATATTTATTTCATTTACTAAATTTTCTTCACAAAGTGTTGCATTAAATAAATGCTCAAATGGTTGTTGAATAAAATTAGGTTAGGATTTGAAATAAACATTTTATATTCTGAAGCATAGTCTGTGGAAATTTCAAGATTTCCTGTACTCTCCTATTGACTCTAGCTCACCTAGTTTCTGAGAATGCAAATCTTCTCTGAACAGACAGCCTCATTTTTATTCTGCAGAGTGGTTGATGAGCTTGAACCTCCAACCTTGAGGTTATCAGCTCAACACCTACACCAAAGAGCCATCAAGGCTCTTTATTTTTAAGATCTGAGAAGATATTGATGGTTTGTACATAGGCATTTCACATTATACATTTTCATTAATGTGACATGCATATATAGACTACTACAGTAGAGCAATGCACTAGAAGCAGGAATGCTGGCTATGAGACTACAGAAATAGAGTATGAGACTTTGGGGCCTAGAAAGAAAGAGGCAAATTCAAACCATGATGAAAATTAGTACAGGTACTAATTCATTCAAACATTCATTGATTCCATTCAAACATTTGCTGAGAACCTACTCCGGAAGGTGACATGAATTCATAAACACTACTACTGTTTGTTCTCTCATGGTCAGTATATGGGAAAAACAAAACATCTATTTTGATACACTGTGATACAAAGGTAAAGATACTATTACAAAATCCAGGAAGACAGAATGACTAGTTAAGTCTGGGAAGAGGGAAGACTGCAGAGTCAGAGAGGCCTTCCAAAGGGAGGTAACATGAGACAAGTTATAAAAGGGGGTTAGGAAGGTGCATATTCAGGCAGATACTGCATCTAAACATATCTGTTGTTTTTTGGTTAACAGTTCTGCCATCTAACAGAAGCTGGGTGTGATTCAGGAGTCTAAGCTATTAGTCTCTAACTTTACCACTTATCATCATCAGATGCATCTCTTTTTCTCTCTCTACTACCACTGTGGATTATCATAACAGCCTTTTAATTGATCTTTCTGCCACTATTTTTAACCTTATCTACATGTTTAGAAGTTAAATTTTCTTTTGGGTATTATATTGACATAATTTCTGATTTACAGAGAAGTTGCAAGAATAACAACATGAATTCCAATATACTCTTCTACATTTCCTGTTAAAATGTTATTATTTTTACTTTAGTCCCATTTCTCTATATATGAATTAAAAAATTTGTGAGTAAATTGCATATGATGCTTTTAGCCATTAATACCTCAGTGCACACGTCCTTAAAATTGGAAAGTCTCTCAAATAAACAGAGTAATTATAAACATTAGAAAATTAAATATGGATAAATAACTAATTTATAACACTAATTAAATACTTTATTCAGAATTTGCCAGCTGTTTCAATAATGTCTTTTATGATAGAAGAGATAAATAAATCTAGGACTATGCATTGCATACAGCTGTATACTTAATGATACTGACATTTTACAGGAATACAGACTGGTGATTTTATATAACATATGTCAATCTGCTTTTATTTGATGCTTTCTCAGGACTGGATTCAGATGATAGATTTTGGTAGAATACCTTAGAAGTGATGCTGTTTTCTTCTCAGGCCAGTGTTTTGGAAGGCTCATGATGATATCTGTCCCACTACAGTGATATTAGTTTTGACCACTTGGTTAAGGTGTAGGCTATGAGATTCACATTGTAATTAATAAATATATGGAGAAGTATTTAGGGACTATGCATATATAATTTATCCCTAACAACTTTATTAATAAATTTTTCTATCTATCAATGATCAAAGAATTATAACCAGAATGCTTCCTCCAGGTATGGATAGAGAGATTTCATCTCCTGTACTTTGGTCAAGAGAGACCAGTCTCTGGAGAAGGACATCATTCATAGTAAAGTAGCAGGGCATCAAAAAAGAGGAAGACTTTTGACAAGATGAACACATACACACAATGAACTAACACAGAGGCTGTACCCATGGGCTCAAACACAGGAACAATTGTGGAGATGGCACAGGACCAGGCAATGCTCTGTTCTGTTGTACATTGGGTCACTGTGTTAGTCCAGGTAGACTAGAGAAACAAATTCATAAACACACATGTATATAAGAAAGAGTTTTATATAAAGAGTAATTGTACATTAAGAAAGCACCCAGCCCAGTCCAGATCAAGTCCATAAGTCCAATATTAGCCTATACGTCCAATACCAATCTATAAAGTCCTCTTCAGACTCACTAAACACAGGCCAGTGGGTGGGAAGTCTTGTGGATCCAGTGTTGTAAGCATCTCAGTGCTGGAAGGTGTCTCCACGTGGCTTCTCCAGCTCTAAGGCTCTGGCTGCTATCAACCTGTCTCCATGTGGCTTGTGTGTCAACAAGAATGTCTTGCAGGGACTGAGCTGAGAGCGAGTCTCCTTCCTCCAAGGAGGAATACAGGAGTACCTGGAATCCTCTGGAGAAGCCCATGCTCACAGGCCTCATTGGCTATGACCTGATTGGTAAGCTAGATTCCACCCCTTCACTCTTAATCCTCTCAAATTGACAAACGATTATATAACTACCACAGTCACTATGAGTTGGAACTGACTTAACAACAATTCTTGCTTGAGTAATTATAATTATGATGGACCATTTCCCTTTTTAAAAAATGAGTAAGATTATACTACTCTAGGAAAAAGTTCACTCTTTTGATACATAAAAATGTTTTATCATCTGCCCTCATCTTTGTATATCCTTTTATATTCACATTGAATCTTTTGGTGTGGTCATTTTAAATTTATTGATAGTCCTCTAATAAGGGGTTTAATTTCATACTACCATGCCTTTGTGTATATCTTGTACTTTAACTAGAATATGCCTTTGTGGTCGGTCATATAGCAATTTCAATTCATCCTTCAGATTTAAGTGTCATTCTTTTTTTAATTAATTTTTTAATCATTTTATTGGGGGCCATACAACTCTTATCACAATCCATATATACATCAATTGTATAAAGGACATTTGTACATTCACTGCTATCATTCTCAAAACATTTGCTCTCCACTTAAGCCCCTGGCATCAGCTCATTTTCCCCCTCCCTCGTCCCTCATGAACCCTTGATAATTTATAAATTATTATTTTGTCATATCTTACACTGCCCGACGTCTCCCTTCACCCACTTTTTGTTGTCCATTCCCCAGGGAGGAGGTTATATGTAGATCCTTGTAATCAGTTCTCCCTTTCCACCCCACCCTCCCTCCATCCTCCTAGTATCACCACTCTCACCACTGGCCCTGAAGGGATCATCTGTCCTGGATTCCCTGTGTTTCCAGTTCCATCTGTACCAGTGTACATCCTCTGGTCTAGCCAGATTTGTAAGTAGAATTGGGATCATGAAAGTGTGGGGCAGGGTGGGGAGGGGGGTAGGAAGCATTTAGGAACTAGAGGAAAGTTGTATGTTTCATCATTGCTACATCACACCCTGACTTGTCTCCTCCCCAAAGTGTCATTCTTTGTGCTGTCCCCGTAACTGCTTGAGGGAAAGACTACTTTGTATCCTTGCAATCAAATTATGACATTTATGTACATATTTATTTCCTTCCAAAGGAAGACGATAGCGAAAAAAACGAAGGCCCTCAAGGAGATGGACTGACATAGTGGTGGCATCCATGCACTTAGGCATTGGGACAACTGTGAGGATGGCATAGGACCTTACAGTGTCTCATTCTGTTGTGGATAGGGTCCCTATGGATTGGAGCCGACTCAATGGCACCTAACAACAATAAGGGAGACTAGAACATATTTAAAGTCCTAGTATCTAGCAAAACATCTGGTACATAGTGGAGTTTCAGAAAATGATTAATTAATGAGCAGTGAATTCAGAACAAAGTAAATCTTGAAATGGTGAAATGACGGTGGAGAGTTAGGGAATAGAGCGGGAGATGAAACTGGATGGAGCAAACAACTGTGAGAACATGGACACTGTGAATAAAATACGAAAGCATGTGGCTTTACACTCATACACTCTGTAACATGATTCTATGTTTGAGTGATTACTTAGGTGCCAATGTGGGAAATGGACAGGCATTGACAAAGGATTCCAGTTAAGACCGATGAAATTGTGTGAATCCAGGAAAGCACATTTTCAGCTTCCGATCTAAAGAACTGGTAGACTAAAGGGCCCCAATGACACACTAATAATTAAAAGGTCATGATATAGAACTTATTCTTAGTTTGAAAATTAGCCAGAAACAGAAATGTTGAGAAGGTAGGTGGTATGTTTTGGGCTCTAAGGAGGAAATTACAGTCACCTACTCTGAGCCCTGGTGGTATAGTGGTTATGCATTGGGCAGCTAACTATGAGGTCAGCAGTTCAAAACCACCAGCTGCTTTCAGGGAGAAAGACAGGGCTTTCTACTTTTGTTATAGTCTATAGTCTCAGAAACTTATAGGGACAGTTTGAATCTGTCCTTTAAGGTTACTATGAGTTGGCATTGACTTGAGTGAGTGAGACAGAGTGAGACAGAGCTAAAACTAAAAGACATTAAG